ATATATATATATATCTCCACAAAAATAACAAAGAAACATGGGAATTAACCCAAATCCCGTCATTTCCACCCATATTCAGTATGCAAACAGACAACGAAGACAAAAAGAAACAAATTGATAATTAATCTATGTCAAGACTGATAAACATGTGTGCAAGGATGGATTGTTCTATGGATTGCTTGGTAAATGAAATGAATGGTTTTCAGAGATATGTCTATGTGATGTTGGCCTGTAGATCAATAGTAGTAAAAAAAACAACCCAAAACCTTTCTTAAAAATTTTTTTTTTTATACTAAAATTCATTCTTCTGATACGAACACATACCTAGTAAAAAAACAAAACAACAAAAAGTATTAACTCCTCGCCGACAAAACAACATGACAAGCTGAAAGAAGAATTTGAATAAAAAAAGTGATAACAACTTTGTGGACAAATTTATTTTAAAATTTTGAAACTGCTTCTGCTAACTTCATCTATACACATCATTATTAACTCCCCGCCCATCTCCCAACCACTCTTCTTATCACTAGGTGGCACCAGCTGTTCTGGAAGACCTCTTGGTTAGTCACCCTCTTGTGGCTGATGCAGCAGTGATTGGCATACCTGATGAGCGAGCAGGGGAGGTACCAATGGCATTTGTGGTCAAAAAGGAAGGAGTGGACCTCTCTGAACAGCAGATTGAAGACTATGTGAAAGGTGAGTTGTTTTTCTTTGTTATTTAGGGTTTATAACATCCTGAGCAATGGCATTGACCCCTTCATGAAGCAGGTCAGACAGTGTTGTTTTTGAGCTGTTTAACAAGGCTGTGCAAGAATAGTAATTAAAGGGTTAAGATTAAGTATCAATTGCTTAGTGTAAGATTTCGGCTATACGCCATTTTGAAGAGTGATATATGAGTCTTGCACTGAGCAGTCGGTATGCTGAACAGTTAAGAACTTACAGATAGTCCTTTGAACCGTGGCCACCTGATCCTTGCAGGACCCACTCATCTGAGTTCCCTTGGGCTGACTGCTAGATTTACACCTACCACCAAACACCTCATGTGCTTTCAGTACGCTCAAAATCAGATGTAGAGTGAAGGTAGAGGGATGGAGTTGTTTGGGGGATATAGAGGATTGCTGCTGCACATAGGGCTACTCCATTACTGCATTGCACATTAAGGCTTCAAGTTCTTTAAAGATAGAATACCATTCATCAACATCTGTGACTACTTGCACGTTAGAGACCAGTATTCACTATCTTGTCTCATCCCTGCTTTCTTTTCTCCCATATTTCTTTTTTTTTTAAACTTTAAAAGTGATGTAAAACATTTCTGTAGAGAGAAAATGTTCTGCTTTTGTCCAGTAGTGAATCATTCAGCTGGGAAAAACAAAAAAAAGAACAAACCGTACTTCTGTACATGTTCTTTGTATTATTCTATGTCCGTGCTTTGTATTTCTCTTCTTATGTGCTACTAAATAGGAATAGATTTTGAAGATCGCCTTTTAAATTTTTTGATTGGCACGTGTAGGCTCTTCACATTCAAATAATATTCTTTCTAAAATTCTTCCCCAGAACATGCGTCTAAGGAAAAATGGCTGCGCGGAGGAGTTGTCTTTGTTGATCAGATTCCGAAAAGTGCCAGTGGGAAAATTCTCAAACGCGTTCTCAAAGAGTCTCTGGGCTGAACATTCTGAAGACAACATGGACACCATCATTGTACTGAGAAGCAGGGGTTTCCAGGATTAGTAGTTATTTTCCAAGCATCTAACAAGTTGAAATATGCTCAAGAAGATTATACGGCACCCCCTCCTCCACCCCAAAAGAAAAAAAAAAAAAGAAAATGCTGTGAATAAAGTTAGTTTAAATGTTTTCGTTTGATTTTAAAAAATAAAGGATGTCTTATTTTGGCTAGGGTAGTGGTCGGTACAATCAATGTTTTTCTTTTTTGATTTCGAAGTCATCAGATGAAGTTTTCAATAAATAAACTGTTCTAGTTCTATACTCTGATGTGCCTATCAAGCCATCAAGTCGCTTACCTATATCTTTATCCTATGCTTTTAACCTTTGGTTATACTTGAGTACCCTAAGTTTTGTGGCATGGGCGAATTATTACAGGGTTTGCAGTTTCACCATTGGAAGCATATCTTTGCTGTTGTTGATGATTTCTTATTGAGTGAAGTATTTCTCGTATCAACCAAAATCATTGATTTCCATGGCATTTATCCTTTAATCTATGTAATTTTGTAGTCAAGTTTGACTGGCACCCTGAAATCATTATAGAAAATAAACTCGCCCATAAAAGTCAAGGAACAACTCGTGTTTTCTCCTGTCAAATTTGAACTTCAATATCTCGCAAACCCGTTAAATTCAGTCAACCAAACTTGGCACATGCACTGACGACTAGACACAGTTCGCCTGTACAGCAAAGTTTCCTGCACCAGCTTCACAGCGACTGCGCAGGGCACTCTGAAACGTAGCCGAAAAGCATGAAAAATGGGCTAAATTTCTCTGCTTCAGCAACATTGGCGTAGGGACTGTTAGCTAAAACTAAGCTTGGCACGTGCTAAACAGATGTCTTAGCTGTGAATATTGCCCACTTTTACAAACCTTTATAAGCCAGCGTTTTTCAGCCATGTTTCATAACAACACGATGGTCCAACGACGCTCGCTGCCTGACGTCGACAGAAGAGGAACCCTTGCCTGGCTTCCAGATCGCTCCATGTTCCCAGTCGTTGCACATAGACTTGGGGGGTCCCCATCAGTCATATAGAGGCTGCAAGAACGATGACGAGCTACCAGAAGGGTCAAGGACAGACCTCGACCAGGGCCACGCCGTTTGACCAACACCAGCATCGACCGGTTCATCGTCAGACAGGCCGTGACGTCATGAACCACCACTATAAACCACATCAGGGACCAACTACAGGTGACAGGAAATGTCCACGAGAGCGAGGAGATGGTAAGGAACCGTATCCGTAGAGCCAGGTTCGCTTCTCGTGTCCCTGCCAGGCCCCCAAGGCACACGCCGCCCCACAAAGCAGCTCGCCGGGTGTGGTCTGCTCGCCATTCACAGTGGACACGACGTCAGTGGTACCATGTAGTCTTCTCGGACGAATCCAGATTCAATTTGCTTCACCCAGACAGGCGAGCCCATGTCTAGAGATGCCGAGGAGAGCTGTTCCACCCTGAGTGTATCCAGCAGGTGGCGCCCTACGGTGGAGGGTCCGTTCTGGTGTGGGGAGGCTTCTCAGCTCACCACAAGACCCCCCTGTACCATATACAGGGCAATTTGACCGCGGCAAGGTACAGAGAGGAAATCCTGTGTCCCTTTGTTGTTCCTCTCCTGCAGCAGATGGGACCCCAGGCTGTACTGCAGGATGACTACGCCACGCCACATCGCACACGCATCTTGGGGAACTTCCTGCAGCAGCGACTGTCACCCTCATGGACTGACCAGCTTGTAGTCCGGATTTGAACCCAATAGAGAACATTTGGGGTCACATTGACCGGTGGATAAGGAACAACCACCCATCTGCACAAAACCTTCAACAACTCTTGGGCTGTCTCGTCCAGGAGTGGAAGAACCTACCGCAACAAGTTCTTCGAAGGCATGTCCAGTCCGTACGTCGACGCTGTACCGAGTGTTTGGTCAAACGGGGTGGCTACACTCACTATTGACAATGTTCATGAAGAACTATGGCTGTTCAGACTTATGAAATCCGACAAGTGTGATTTAAACTCATTTTACATAAACTTCTCGTTGTTATTGAAATCTGAAATTGTACGCACTTAATCTAGAGAGTCAAAAGCATCTTTTTGGAAAAAATGAATATATTCGGTTACACTGTTCTTCAGTTATCTTTCTTTGAATTTTTGTTCCTTGACTTTTTCGTGCGAGTTTATATGAGGGCTTGCATCAGATTAATTTTTTTTTATCTGATGACAATGTTTTTGCTGTTTCCTAGTTTTTCATTTTCCTTTCGAGTTGGAACTTGCATTTGCTACCTCTTTGTTATAGAGTGCTTGGCCATTTATTTTTTCTCCAAGATAGGGAAAGGTTTCCACCCCTTTCAGTTTATTTTCGTTCATATGGAATGTAGTGTTGTTTTTCCTGACAGTGCCAGCTGTTACTCAGGGAATCTCTTCACAAAGATATATATACAAGTGTGTGTGTGTGTGTGTGTGTGTGTGTGTGTGTGTGTGTGTGTGTGTGTGTGTGTGTGTGTGTGTGTGTGTGTGTGTGTGTGTGTGTGTGTGTGTGTGTGTGTGTGTGTGTGTGTGTGTGTGTGTGTGTGTTAGAGAGAGAGACAGAGACAGAGACAGAGACAGAGACAGAGAGAGAGAAAGAGAGGGAGAGAGTTTGTGTGTATGTGTGTATGTGCGTGTGTTTGAGCAAATATATTTTCACAGGTTGAAATAAAATGGGGAAGGATAAGGGGGGGGGGGGGGGATCTGCTCAAATAATGCCCAGAGATGTGCCAACACCTGTGGTTGTGGCAATGTCTTTTCGGCACAATATTGTGGCAGATCACCATACAGCACAATCACACCCTTAGAAAAGTTTAACAGCATTCGCGAAAACATGTAACAAGACAAAAATGTTACTCTTGTTAAGTTTTGGGGTAATGGGAAGATGAAGTACTGACATTGTACCATACTTCAAAATGAAAGAACAGACATTTTGCATTTTGAAAATCTTAAAGAGTATTAAAATACTGTGTAGTACCTTAATAATTTATCATTATTGGTTGTGTTTATCATTTATCATGGAAGATTATTCATGCCTATTAAATACGGATGCAAATTTTGCAAGTATGAGGATGTGCTTGTTTACTTTCTGTGGGTGCAACATTACCCTCGAATATGGACTATCAATAACTGACATTTGTTTGAATGAAATATATATATATATATATATTATATACATGCATATTCAAAGTGATCTAATCTGATGGAAAAAACTAATTTTGAAATCATCTGTCATCTGGTCAAGATGAAATCACTGTGAAAGAATGATTGTACCAGTAGTAGTAGTAGACTAGACATAGAACAAAATAATGTTCTCAATTTCCTGCGTTTAGTATCTACAAAAAGATTCCTGTGCAGTTTCTTGTAATGTAATCTTACCAATTATTGTGGTGTTCATACCTTTAGCTTCAAGTGACATACAGGTAGAATGCTGGATGCCAGCACAGCAATACCATGTTCAAACCTTAACTGAGCACACATTCATTTGTACGTGGATAGATGTGTGAGACTGACTTCGGAGATCTTGAAAAATTGTAAATGATGTACATTTGAATTTGTTTTTAGTGGTCAGCTCTCCTTAGCGGTCACCTGTAGGCTACTAATGGCCACTGTTGCATTCCAAACGGATAAAGGCCTGACATGAAATAAGAGAAGGTGCAAAGGGCCATCCAGTGATGCTCACAGCTGTTTACACCAGATCATCATTATTGTGTTGAACAAAGAGATAATATAATATAAGTTTTGTAATAAACAAAGCGTAAACAGATTTTTGTTGGTTTGCTTGCATCTTTTTTTGTTTGTTTTTGTACGTGTTTTACGGTGCTCGCAACTCCATAAGGTCATATGAGCGCGCGGGACACACTAAACTTCTTCAGTTGGTAGGAAATTTTGAATTTTGCCCGGCCGAAGCCTACTCTTATCGATTTTAAACCACCAAGGGATCTTTAACGTGCGCAACTTGCACACGGGCCCTCCGAGATTTTTCGCCCTAGTCTGAGAAGGCTAGGTGTAGATCTTTCCTACCAGAAGATCAGGGGTGTGGCTGAAAGACAGCAGTAAGAAGAAGTAGCAGTAGAAAGGCTGTAGAAAGAATCAGGAGCCCAGAGGAGGGGGCAAAGGAGATGAGGGAGTGGGGGGCAGAAAGAGGAGACGAAAGCAGACGACAGAACATTGCTAGAGAGCAGGAATGGAGGTGAAAGGAGACAAATTTAGAGAAGAAAATTTTTCGGTCACTACCCGAATTCGAACCGGGACCTTTGAATGAGAGGCCAACACCTTACCCTCTAGGCCACGAGAGCCCCTTGCTTCTTTTTACTGTAATATCATTTATCATCAGATAATATTCGATTTTCTTGCTTTTTGTTCTCCTCCTTTTCGTAAGATTTAGTCTTTGTCAAGAAGTGTAACATAGACCACATGTCCTCCAATTACATTATATTGTCATTCATACAAGAATAATATCACCGGCCAGTTTTTTTTTTTAATCTGTGGAATCAATCGCATGAGCTCGAGAAATATTTTGTCAAAATTCAAATTCTAAATGTTGGAAAAAGCAAGGAAAGTTATACAAAGTAAGTACAATTTTTAAAAGAGTGAAACCGTTTTTTTTTCTCCTTTTTGAAAAATAAAATTGCTTTCTTGGCTTCCCAGCGATATCCTGCTTGTAGAGATTAGCCAGAACCAATGTCTTTGCTGTAATAGTCGTGCTCTTTGTTTTTCTTACAAACACCACGAGTTCATGAATTCTCATGTTGGGGAAGATAATTGTATCGAGAAACTCAGTTCTAGCTTTGGGATGTGTTCTAAAGGGCTTACCAATGTTACCAATGACTGATGGGGGATGAAGCAGCCCATCTCCAAAATTATATTATTGTATTGATTGGGGCAAAACAACAATAGCTTACTTGGATTTACTTGGATCCAGAGCTAGAATCATAGCAGGCGGCACGGCACATGTCCATAGCTGTTCATCTCTCCTTTCCAGCGTCCACCTCAGGGTCTTCCGGCTAATTGTCTCCATGAGGAGCTGGTTTGAGACACGCCTAACCACTCCTCGGAGCAAACTTTTTTTCGCTGTGCCCCGCACACACCTTTCTTTTATTGTGCTGAGTGTGTGGGAGTCTGTCTCCTCTTGGTCGTAAAGGCTCTCCTTGCATCTGGCGATCACCATTGGTGGGTCGAGCATGATTCGGCCACTGGGTGCTGCTTTGCCGGCAAGTTCATGAGCACGCTCATTTCCGTGCACCCCGGCGTGACCAGGGCAGAACACCTATGTAATCCGTAGGAGGTGGCTATTTGCAATGGAAGCGCTCCAGTCACTGTAGAGCCACCCACTCCTGATTTTTTCTAGGGTGCTCATCGAATCTGTGACAAACAGGGCATGTCTATACGCTTCCATACTGATCCATTCCAGCGCCTCTGTTATTGCATTGACCTCCATTACCATGCTCGATGTAGTGCACTCGTAGGCTCCAGACTGTTCTTTAATTATCTTCCCGTCAACTCGAGCACTGAACGCCCACCCAGATTTCTGGCCACGCCTCACTGATCCGTCAGTGAAGACGACAACATTTACCAATCACTGAATTTTACTCAAGGATGGTCACGATTTCCGCATTAGTTGCATTTGCTGGCCACTCGCGACACTCTCGACCTAGCGTAGCTATCACCTTAATGAAGTTGCTCATGTCTTTCTCCGGCCTCATCCAGTCACATCCTCTTCTTATGTCCTCGATTTCACAACACATATCGAGAGTTCGCTCCGCCTGCACCATCCATGAAGATTCTCTTTTTAATCTTGGGCGTACTTGGTTTCCTATTTTCGGATGTAGAGGGTGACGTTCGTCTGCTGTTACTCGAAGGTAGGCCTTGACTTGTGCTAGCTTGTGTCGGTGGGTTAACGTTGGCAGGTCCAGCAGATATCTCATCGCTGATGCTGCTGTGTCACGGGTGCATCCCAGAATAGTTCTCATTTCTTCATTTTGAATGACTTCGAGGCGATGTAGCTGTGTTTTGGATAGGGTGAGCATACCAAGGCCATAGTCCACTACAGACAGTACAACCGCTTGAAGCATGATCATAACGGCGCGTTGGGGCATAGATGCAGCCATCACTCTCAGTGCAACAAGTAGAGAAGAACAGAAGATTAGCAACAATAGCATCAAAATGGAGTCTCCCTGAAATGTAATCTGTGTGTGTAAATGTCTCGCTTAAGAAGCTTCTTCACGCTATATTTTTTGGGGGAATCACTGTTAATCTTCAGAAAACTTATTTGTTCTTGGATCATTTTTTTGTGAGGAAGCAATCACTGTTTTCATGGGGTTTTTTTGGTTGGGGAGAGGGGGGGGGGGCGGGGATAGATGTGAAATGAAAGGAAGAGGAAGTGAATGATGCACGTCATACAAGGAGTTTCTGTTCTCCTGTACTTGCCACATTGCTACCTCCCCCCCTCTTTTTTTCCTTCAAAACTGCGCTTCGTGTGCTGGACTTCGATTTGGATAAAACTCTCTCGCTGGTTCGATTCTTCACCAGGAAGTTGTGAACCTTGGGTTGTTTGAGCAGTTTTTCTTCTAGAGGGCGTATCTGGTCGGAGTTTTGATGTGATCTGCTCCGTGTTTTTCCCTCAGTGTTTTTGTGGGGGCACTCTTGTGGTCTAGAGGTATGGTTTCGTCTGTCATTCGATAGGGCCCGGGTTCGAAACCTTACAGAGAGGGAACATTTTGCCTCTAGAAATGTTTTCCTTTCACCTTTCCTGCTCCCTAATCATGTTCTGTTGTCTGTTTTCGTCTCCCGTTTCAACCTCCTCCTCCGGGCTCCCGACTCTTTCTGCTGCCTTTCTACTGCTACTCCTTTGCTCTTTCTTATTGCTGTCTTTCCGCCACACCCCTTATCTTAGGGCATGTAGCCTTCCGGGATAAGGGTGAAAAAGTCTCAGAGGTCCCATTGGCAAGTCGCGCACGTTGAAGATCCCTTGGTAGTCATAAAATCCATAAGAGCAGGCTTTGGCGGCCACCCGGGGAGAATTCAAAATTAATTCCTACCCTTCTGAAAAATGCTTATGTGGCATGCGCGCTCATATGACCTTATGAAGTTGCGAGTGCCGTAACATACTTGTCAAATCAAACAAGCGTTTTTGCTCTCCATGTCGTTCCAGGCGACACATGGCTCGTCTCTCGCCCATATGTAAGCAAGTACAACTTTGATACCCTAGGATGCAAGCTGTTTCGATCATGCCTGTCAGGGCCAAATTGGGAGGACGGAGATGCTCGTTAAAATGCTTCTGCGTGCAACGGCAAAGAGCCTAGTGGTCCCGCTCAACTACCGACTCCGGTCTACCGGTACCCATTAATACTGTGGCTATCTGACACTAAAAAACTTTCTACACTCTAGTTTTGGTATGGGGTGGACATTAATTTAGAGGCCCCTGGCACATTCTGACATGTCTATTTTCAGTGTTGAAAGAGTCGAAAAGCAGAACATGAAGCACTGAGAATTGTAGACTCACCCGTAGAAAACATTGCACAACTCCCATGGTCATGGACCCATCTTTTGTGCCCCGGACTTGACATGAATTAATAAGAAAAATTATTAAAGATTCAAACAACAAGATACTGGTTTGTGGTTTACATATTTTGATCTGTATGAAAATTAAAAGTACTTAATGGACATGTCTGGAACTTCTTGAATCCACTATGAGAGAATACAAACAAGCGCGATACACTTTATAAATGGAATGTCCCTATTTCAAAATTTTAATGATCCACATAGAGATGTAAAAAAGGACAGTAATGGATTCTAAGAACGAAAAAGAAACGGAGGCAATGGTGGTGTTTTTCAGCGGGGAGGGGAGAGAGAGAGAGAGAGAGAGAGAGAGAGAGAGAGAGAGAGAGAGAGAGAGAGAGAGAGAGAGAGAGAGAGAGAGAGAGATGGAGGGTGGCAGAATTAGACAAACAGATGGACAGCCCGACATAGGGAGAGGCTTGTTATAGTGATATGTATCTGATAAATTATATGAACCTGTTGTGATATAAAGCAATAAAGTGTATGATGTTCACAATGCATGAAACAATAATATGATGTACACTACAAGTTCAAGCATAATCAGTGAAAAAAGAAACGTTTCTGTCTGCCTCTCATTCTTCCTATCTCTCCATTTTCTTTCGTCTTTTTTGTGCACTCCTCTCCCACCGCTCGCTTTTGTTCGTTCCTTCTTTCTTTCAGAATTCTTTTCTTTCTTTCTTTCTTTTTTCCTCGCTCTCATTTGTATTTTTTTCTTCTATCTATATTGTTTTCAGAGTTTTTTCTTTCTTTCTTTCTTTCTTTCTTTCTTTCTTTCTTTCTTTCTTTCTTTCTTTCTTTCTTTTTTCTTTAATTTTCTAACTGTCTTCCTTTTTACTTTCTCTCTTTTCAATGACTGAATATTTTTTTTTTCGTTTTAGGAGCAAAATTTCACCTTTCTATCACAAACAAATGAACTGAATTTTAATACAACAGGTATATGTATTTCATAAGAGCTGATCCCTAACTGTCATCATCATCATTGCTTTTCTCACCTTGCACCAGGATATAGGCCACGGACAAACACTTTCCACCTTTCTCTATCCTTGGCTACCCGCTTGATGTTATCCATGTCTTCCCACTTTTCTGTCCATCATTTTCTGCGATTCTTCTCCAGGTCCCCCGTGATCTTCCCCTTGATTTTTTGCCCTTTGGATTCCAATCCAACACATTTTTTTGTATGCAGCTGCCTGACTTCCTGAGAGTATGTCCAATCCATCGCCACCGTCTTCTTCCTAACTAATCTCCCTAACTGTCAACTTGAAAATAATTCTCGTTCTCCTGCCCTACTATCTAAAGACAGTTGAAAAATTAAATTTTGCAGAAAGGAAAAAAAAAATCAACATACAACATTGTTGACAAGTAAAGCCTTGAAAAAACCCAAAGAAAGTTTCAAAGTTGGAAGCAAATTTAAGTACGTTCATGTGAAGGAGCCGTTCAGGAACACAGAAAAAATATTCTCCTCCTCCTCTCCACCCCTCTCTCTCTCTCTGTCTCTCTTTCTCTGTCTCTCTTTCTCTGTCTCTCTTTCTCTGTCTCTCTCACTCACACTCACACACATACACACACACACACACACACACACACACACACACACACACACACACACACACAAACACACACACCGATACACACACGCACGCCCTAAACAGGACAAATTATATATTGAATCTCCGGATTGGATTTCACAAATTGTCACATTATTCGGTTATTGCATAATGAGGGATATGCGAATACATGTATTATTATAGATACTGGGGTAGCTAAAAGATCCTTTGTTCTTTCATGTTAATAATTTTTCCCCTTTGGTACACAAGTCCAGTGTTTGTTGACATCAGGATGCTCAATTCTTTCATAACCACCGGTCATTTGACTTTGTTGGTTCTGAACTTGATTTGCCATGCCATTGTTTGAGGTTCGAATCGAAATAGGATAACAACTGCAGTCGAACTGGGCCCACTAAAACGTTTCGTTTGCGATCTCAACAACCCAACCACCAGACATATACAAATCTTAAATCAAAGTCCCCACCATGAAACTGGTGATGTCACTAAAAGTAGCACCAGCCGGAACGCACAACCCTTGTACGCGGCTTCGCTTTATATCAGAGTCTCCAGCATGAAGCTGGTGACGTCACGAAGAGTGGCACCAGCCGACTGTATCGTCTGCAGTACGGTGGAGAAATGTTGTCTCACCAGCTCCCAGCGCTCTGCGTTGTCCCCAATCTGGAACAAGAGGTCCACCAGGCCGGGGAAACTGCTGCCGGCATACGCGTCGTTGGCGTTCTCCGCGAATATCAGGTGTCTGGGTAATGATGATGATGATGAAGAGATGAAGATGATAATATTAACAATAACATCAACAGTAATTCTGATGACGATAATAACAGAGTGATAATGACGACGATGATGATGATAACAATAATAATAATAATGAAAATAATAGCAACAACATCAATGATGATGATAATGATAAAAATGATGATAATGAAGTCAACCACAATAATCATTATACATGTAGTAACGGTAGAGAGTGCACTATTGATGATGATACAGTTAATAAAACAACAACAACAACAACAACACAACAACAACAACAACAATAACAACAGCAACAACAACAACAACAACAAAAACAACAACAATAATAATAGTTAAAATAAGACAGGTAATAATAAGAAGAATAATAAAAAGCAACAGCAGCAGCAGTATCTTCCCACTATCAACCTTATCGTCATCCTCACCCTTCATTCTAGTAATTTCTTCTTCTCCTCATCCTTCATCACCTCATCCTCCACCACCACCTCCTCCACCTCCTTCAAGGGACGAAGGTTGACTTGTTTGACAGGGTAATCAAAGTGAGACAAAGAGCCAGACATAGTTAGGCTACACATGAAAAGCTTTCCCACAATGCCACAATGGGAAACAAACCCTGAATTCATTCTGTATGTTGACACCCCCCCCCCCCAAAAAACAAAAAAAAAATTAATAAAATAATCGAGAAAATATCTCATTAATAAATTTTCTGTTTTGGGAAAAATAGGATTATAACTTTTAAACATGAGGTGGGAATAATGGCCTCAAGATTTTTGAACTGTAAAAGCAGCTAAAGATGTGAATACATAAAAAGAAGTCTAAGAAGTAGAGACGATAAAACTACAAATACATGTATTATCAATTTGGTTTCAAGTCTGGCTTTCTTGATCTAGCCTTTCGCGGCAAAGAGTCAATGCAACCAATCCATGACCTAATTAAAGGGCGGTAAAACGTCGAGGAAAAAAACCATAAGCACTTACAGCAGTCATGACAGTCGTGAGGGAGACTTTACCGATTTAATTTTTAGCGTACATAAACCGTGCTTGTGACTGCTTATGAGAGTGGGCCACAAGGGGTGAACAGGGTATTTATGTGGAAATGAAATAGTTTCGAGTGTTATGCACACTGCTCATTGGTGATTTCCTGAACATCTATTACTATTTAACTTCATAAGGCCATTTTGTATAATGGTCTGTGGGTTGATTTGACTGCGACGATATTCCCCAAAATAAGGAAGGGAAGCAGTGATTATATGATTATGTAGGCGTTTCGAACCTGCCTCCTCCTCCTCCTCCTCCTCCGGCTTCTGCTTCTGGCCCCCCTCCTTCTCATCATCATCATGACATCACTTTCATCTTATTATTTTTATTTGTGAACGCATTGCCAGGCTCACTGCGTGACTAATTTTCTCATGGAAATTTTTTATACATCAATATACTTATAATATACATAATGCTATGTTTTACGTACACACGTGTCCATAAAATGGAAATGCACAGCATAAATGCTTATTATTATTATTATTATTATTATTATTATTATTATTATTATTATCATCATCATCATGATCATTGTCACCCCAATAACAACAACAAAGACAGTAACAAAGGATGACGACCAAAGTCGTGATGGCGGAAAGACAAGAGAACAATGCATTTTGGTTACACTTACTTTTTCAATGGCCTTGTGGGAAGACCATCGGGAACGAGAAAAGCCTTCTCCAGCAAGAGCATCTGGTCATTCACTACTCGTAAGGCAAAAGGACTGGGGATTTGGAAAAGAAGAAAGATGTAACTGTGTTTCAAGGTTGTTAGGTTTTTGTTTTGTTTTGTGGTAAAGCTGAATGCCCCTCTAGAAATACAGTCGATGTCTTTGGTATAAAATAAAGGTTATGCTCTTCCCAGCTACAAACAAGAGATGTGAGTTCCGTTTACCAGTACGGAAGTTTTGTTTTCGGGTTTTATAAGTCTTTCTACCGGAGAACTGACGCCCCAAGTTGGTCCTAATAGGCAGGGTTGAAGTAGCCCTCCTCATAAATTGTGTCACGGCGCGGTGGAATCAGGCGCTCGTCAGTTTTTGGCCATGTGAAGTTATTCGTACCATCTTAAAGGTTGTTCATTTGTCTATCTTTTGATGAAAAAAATGTCCTTCTATCTTGAATACAAATCGAGACATTTGCAATTAAACAAGTTGGGGTCGCCTAATTTCAGAGGTAAAATTAGTGAGAAAATAGCCGCCAAATATTAGTTATTTCCCTAGCTTAAGAGTCCGTGGTAACTGAACATGTACACTTTTTGTGCTTTTAATCAACATTTTTCAGAAAAATCCACGCAGAAATGAGTTCTTTAATGGGCATGAAAGGTGTTGAGCCAAAAGACAAAAATTTGATAAAAGTTCATAAACCTGCGGAGACATGCAAGTTTCTACACTTTGATTATTTTGACGAGAGCCTGATTCCACCACGCTGCCACACAATTATCTAAATTATGTAGGTGGAGGCATAACATTTTCCAATTCCGCATTACATTTATCTGTTACAGTGCAGGTTATTTAACAAAAACAAACGGTGACTTGTTCGCTCATCGAGCACGTTTGAAATATTTGAGATAGAACAAAGACAACAAATAACTAGTCGCAGCGTTAGGAGAGTTTAACAACCTCGCATAATTTATAGGTTTATTTATTTATTCGTTTGTTCGTTCGCTTGTTTGAGCAAAAAGAAGCATATCGACACAATTTGGACCATTACGTGCACGCTATGTTCTATCTCAACACCTGCAGCCATAGTTTAATGCATCTGTCTATTTATTGCTTGATTTCTTCTTTCCGAAAATGTATCAATTATAAATCTACAATAATTGTTATAAAGAGAGACTTATCATGTTTTCTTGTACAAATTTTTCCTTGGAGAGAAGAGGATAATATACATTTATGTCCATGTGCACAACTGACACATTTTTACATCCACTCACTGGGATTTGTCAAGAGATTTCAGCCTTGTCTCAAAATCATCGACGTCTTTCGAAAAGTTTGCGATCACTTTCTCTAATAAATCTGGGGAAACAAAAAAGAATAGTTAGCAATAAAAATTGGCAGTAAGATTGTCCTAATACCCCCATCACGCCACCCCCTCTCTCCCACAAAATACAACAAAAAAAACCCAACAACAACAACCCAACAAAAAACAAGAACCCCAAAACAAAAACAAAACAAAACAAAACAAAAAACCCAAGCAAGCCAGCAACAAGCCAACCAACCAACAAAAACAAAACAACCAGTGTCAAACAAAAAACCCAACAAAAACACCCCCCCCCCAAAAAAAAAAAACACAACCCCCAAACAAGCAAACAGATGAACACCCAACCTTTTATGGGTTGTTCTTATAATGCCGTCCTTTCTTGGCTCGTAGCAATTTGTCCACCAGAAATAGTGCACCAGGTAGGAGCTCTCTAGCCTGTAAAAACTTTGT